GAAAATTACGAAATCGGGGCCCGTGCCTCGAGTGGCGTCGTGGTATTATTACTTTTTGCTCTTGACTCTGCCCTCGACTTTTGGGGGGGGGGGGGAGTTTTTTTTTTTTTTTTTTTTTTTTTTTTTTTTGGGGCATGACTACAACGTTCGATAATTGATTTTGAATCTATTGGTTATATCCATTAAACGAGTTAAACGTTATCATTGGGATTTTATTTTGCGTCATGGCTGTAATGTCGTTTAAAAAAGGATCAACTTACTTATCATTAAAATTAATGATCTGTGATAAAAACCGTTACAATTGGTCATCCATCCGTCAACAAATTAAAGCTAAATACTTATCTCATGAAATCCATGATGGTTTTAATCATTGTGAAATACCAGTCATAGTTTATTGGATTATTTAATTTGCATGATAGTATTTTATCATGTAAATAAAAAATAAATTTGGATACTTTTTTTTTTTAATTTTAGTGATTAACCTCGTGAATGTGTGATTAAACTGCAGAAAAAACTCGACGGTTTCGTTTCATTTGACCTGGAGACATGAAATTTTTAATAATTTTGCGACGCAAGTACTTCAAAAGGACTCTTGAAGAAGCTGCTTCACTTTGACACAAATTTTACCCTCCCAAAAATAAGATTCACCGTCGAAAATTTATTCCAGCATCATAAATATGTCGAATAACTCGAGGATTAGGTTGAAAAAGAAAAAAAAAACCCTTGAAACTCGAAAAATAAAATCCAAAGCCCAATGCAGGCTAATGAGCTCCATACACGCGCTTTGCGACTTGACTTTAGCGACGGTGCACGGTACCCGAGACCTGCAACTCGGGTGTATAAAATTTCCAATTTTCGTGACAATTTCAGTCGGAAAAAGGGGACGCGAAGGGAAAAAAACATTTCAAAAGCTCAGCGGCGAAAGCCCAGTTGCAATTTCGCCGGGCTGAAAGAGGAACAGATGAAAAACTGCGAGCGCAAAAATCGCGCAAACGCGAAGGAGCCGGGAAAAGAAGAAGCAGATGACACGGCACCGTCGCATCGCGTGCGCAAAAAGACCCACTGCCACCCCCCCGTTATACTTCCTTTCGCGGGGCTGTGTATACGTACACCCACGCCTACTCCCTCGTGGAAGCTGTGGCTCATTTTTTTTTTTTATTTTGTCTTATTTGCAACGCCTCGCTCCTTTTCCAGCCAACATCGCGGCGGCCCGCTCTTATCTGTCCGCCGCCACCAAGTACAAGGAGAGGACCTCGGCCGTCTCCATGGTAGCGCTCATGCAGGTAACTAGTGTCACCCAAATTTTCATTTTTATGAATTTACTGAATAATCATTGAAATTGTAACTGTAATCCTTTCTCCCTTTCTGAGATTTTTTTCTTTATTCAGTCACCAACAACCATTTGTCCATTTTTCCCATGTAAAATGTGTGCGCCTTTGTATTTCGTACACGGTTCGAGGGACAAAACATCAATTCTCGGCATATAGTAGCGAGTTATTATTATTCATCCACATGAAGGTAAACGTTGCGGCTGCTGCCGATGTCGTCGGGCTTGAGATTTTTTTGTTTTCCTCCATCCACGTCAGTTGTGCGGAAAACTCGTTTTGCAACCAAGGTTGCGGTCGATCGATCACTTTTCAAGATTTTTACGCGAAAAGCCCTCGTTCGACTTTTATTTTCATCTTACCGAAGCTCACCTATATTTTATTGTTTCCTCTCAATTTTACCTGAAAATTTAACATTGATACGCGACGATGTACTCGCGATTCATCGCTTGTGGATAAAATTTTCATGGCACTTTATAAAAGCACATTACCCTCGGACAAAACCTATATTGGTACACCGCGGGCCGTTTAAAAATAGCGAAGGTAATGGGCCCGATGAATGAAGCATCATCCATTAGACGATTAACATTTCACAATTCATAACGAGAAGCAAAGTGTCGCCGGGTGCACAGACACGTATATATATATATATGAATTTGATTAACTTTTCACGAGGCAATATGCACCCGCGGATGGCACCGAAAATAACTCCCTTAAATCCTTTTCCAATCCCACGGCAGCCCCCGAGCATCCAATCGAAAACTCGTATAATCACGGAAGATCCCTCCACCTGTATTCATAGTTTGCTTGATTGAAAAAGCCCATACCAGAAGAGGAAAAAAAAAAAAAAAAAAAACCCCAACATTTCCAGGTTCTCGGCTTCGTCGTGGGCCCGGCGCTTCAAGCAGCCGTGACTCCTCTGGGCGACGAGACCCGCATCCTTATGGGCCTGCCCATGAACATGTACACGGCCGCCGGCTGGATAAACGCGCTCCTGGGAATACTCAACTTTGTCTTCTTCCTGCCCTGCTGCTTCACCGAGCGCAACATCGCCGCGAAGGAGGCGATGCGCGACCAGGGCAAGCAGTCCGGTAAATCACCGTCAGCCCCCTCCCCTTAGACCAATGTATATATATATGTTGTCCCTCTCGCAATTTATCCTTTTTTTACCATTTTCATACATAAACAGAGGAGGAGACTTGGAAGTCCGTAAGGACCGACTACCTGGCCGCCTGGTCCGTCATATGCGCCTTCTTCGTCCTCGTCTTTAACTTTGTGCTCCTGGAAACGTGAGTATATACACGAGCGTCCTCCCCCCACTGTTACTCCATAATACTTTATTACCCACACATCCTCTTCCTTTTTCTGATCTGCATATTATACGCGTTGCACGCACGTATGGACAAATTACTCCTTCTCGCGGTGGGTATAGTTATCATCCGCGCCATTATGACCGCGATAACGACGTAATTACGGAGTTTGGAATTAATTACTATAAATAAAAGTAATGGTATTAACGATAACCGCGGGGACTAGAAAATGATTTATCGGAACGCGCGCTTAGGGGGGTAGAGAGGGAGGGAGAAACGAAAAATAATTTAGGGCCGAATTAGCATGGAAAAATGTTTAAACGTGAATTTATTAGTGCAGTACAGTGGGAATTTATTGTTTAAGCCGCACACGTACATCCATGATATTCAATACATGTATGTACACTCTCGAGTGTACGAAACGAACAACTTGCTTGATACTGTATACTCATCGTCCCCGGCTGATTTCGCGAGCGACTTGTACGGAGCATATATATATACATACATATATATGTATATGTCCATGATATTGTAAAGAGGGCGAAGGGTAGGCCAGATTAGTATAACGCGATGTCGAAAAATTTTGCAGACTCGGTACTTCGCTGACGATGGATCAATTCGCCTGGGGCCGGGAGGACTCGGTGTTCTACATGGGACTGCTAATGAGCGTCGGCGCTGTCATCTCCTGCGTCGTCTTCTCTGGTGTCGGTCCGCTGAGCAAGAGGTGACTATACCCTTATATAATATACAATACAATGTTATGTATGATATATATTTCCGTGAAACTGGAAAAATTTGGAGAAATATATCTGTGTACGTATAACGAGAGTGGCCGTGTCTGATTGTCGAAAGGTTCGACGAGAGGCGGGTGATGCTGTGGGGAGGCTTCTTTTGCATGATAATCGGGCGCATCATCCACATTCCCTGGGGCACCGAACCACCGCTCATCGCCGAACTTGGAGGTAAGCGACGTCTTTTCTTTTCTTTTTTATTTTTTTTTTCCCCCTCCGTTCCCGTTGCAAAACGCCATTTGCGCGCGAAACGACCACACAAACGATATTAATTTTTTTTTTCTTCTTTCCTCTCATTGAAAAAGCAGCCTACGACAGTTCGTTTCGCGGTCCGCGTATAAGTCCCCTCTTGCGGTCCGCCCAACGGGAGATGCCGTGCTCCCGCGGCTGTTACACCGCGGCAAACTTTCCCGACTTTGCATTCCTCGGCGAGATTGTCTCCGCCACCGACGCCACGCGTATATATATATATATATATATACGCGTCGCGCGAAATGATATAATCCTCGGCGGAGCCGCGATGACGGATTGACCTCGAAACACGCGAAAGCTTTCATGCCCCGAGCAAATGGGCCGAGGGACGCCGGCTCGCGGAGGAAGTTTCCCGAGAAGGGGGCCAAAGTTTGCCGCGATACGTTATCGATGGGCTTCCTCTTTTTTTATACTTTTAATTCGATCAGTGTCCCTCCGTGGCACCTATATACTTTTCCACCCCGCGAAACTTGACAGCTCCATCTCGGACCTTGTGACGATTAAATATATACTTGTTGCGTCGACTCGGGAGATCACCGAGGGGCTTTTCTAGCTACGGGCGGTTCTCGAAATCGTTGAAACATTACATTAAAATGCTTTTAAAGTGTCATATATACGTATACTCGAGGTGCATTACACAAGTTACGTGACTTTGATGCAATCGACGGCCCTCCCTTTGAACGTGTCACGAGCGCAGATGCAGCTTATAGATCGGCTGTGTATTTCACAGGGGAGAGAGAGAGAGAGATCTTGAAATGTATCAGACGCATTAGCGATCTTTTCCTTTGGAAAAAAAGGAAGGGAATCAAATTACGAAAGAGGCGACAGTTTTAATGAAATTAGCGGCCGTAGATCATCACCTCCGGGAAGATATTCTCACGGGGCGCGCGTACGCTTATCCGAGATCTCGGGCGCGTCTGATTTACCGAGTCGGGTGCTTTTGTCGAATTCAAAAAAAAAAAAAAAAAAATCCACGATTTCGGTAGCTCGATATTGTGTCTCCTCCAACGTACATACACACACACACACGTAAATATGTGGTAGTCGATACGTATTACGTAATACTCGGGGGATAATGAATATTAATACAGCCGATCGGTCTCCCTTTCTCTCTCGGTGAACACGATAAGATCGTCTTTGGTTATTTTACTAGGAACCGGGGGGAGCCAGCCGATCGGGGTTAATTAAAAAATCCGATGAAGCATTTCGATTGATTTACTCTCCGCTCTCGACGGGACGCGTACGTACACGAGGGGTAAAGAGAAAAGAAAGAAAGAAACTCCTCGCGTTTCAAGTGGACGGGCAGGTATCGCGTTACGCGGGTTGACAAATGCGCGTCGGGTTTCCTTGAATTCCTTTCAGCATTTCACCCAATAAGCCGAAAATTCCAAACAGCCTACGGCAACGAGACGACGGACCCCCTGACGAACGCCACGAAGCTGGGCTGCCCGAGTGTCCAGGAGTGGTGCCGCTACACGCCCCGCATGACCATCCTGCAGTTCGTGATCGGTTACGGGTTCACGGCGATCGGCTACCCGATCGGCGTCTCCCTCGTCCAGTCCATCTTCACCAAAGTCCTGGGCACGCGGCCCCAGGGCGTCTGGCAGGGCCTCTTAACCGGTGGAGGGTGTGCCTCCCGGGTCCTCGGCCCCGTCTTCGTCGGCCTCATCTACACGCGCTACGGCATCTACCACACCTTCGGCGTGACTGGGCTCACCCTCGTCGTCTCCATGGTCTGGCTGTCGTTGGTCTACGACCGCCTCGTGTCGCCGGACAAGAGGCCCGAGGAATCGCCCAAGAAACAGCCCGAGGAGGTGCCGCTCGAGCAGCTCGAGTGACGTCGGAGGAGAGCAGCGACGCGGCCAAGAGGATGCTGCTCGATGGTAGCGCCTGAGCACTAGGCACTTGCGCACCGGTGCTCGCACGTCGGGTTGCCTCTCTCGATTTTTCTCTCCCCGTTCGGTGTGCGTGTCTTTACATGATCGATCGGCCACCTTTGGGCTTCGAGGGGACGTTTTTTTTTTTTTTTTTTTTTTACGAGTGCCACGGTGGACGTTAAAAGCGGGGTTTACCTGACAGCCGATAGGGATCCGGTGAAGGAGCTGGTTTTAATGAGCTTTTGTTTTGGCTCCGATAACCGGTGGCTGAGGAAACAAAGGGCGCCCCAGTCAAATGTCGACGGGGGGCGAAGAATCAGTTATCGTGGTCGGAATATCTACCCGTGGCTGCCTTTTTTTTTTTTTGGGTGTAATCCCTTGCGTTGAGTTTTCTCGTGCTTTTCTTGTTTTTACGAGGGGCAGAGTCGATAATTTTTACCTCCGCGGTGGGATGCGCTTGCGGACGTGGGAAAATTACGAAATCGGGGCCCGTGCCTCGAGTGGCGTCGTGGTATTATTACTTTTTGCTCTTGACTCTGCCCTCGACTTTTGGGGGGGGGGGGGAGTTTTTTTTTTTTTTTTTTTTTTTTTTTTTTTTGGGGCATGACTACAACGTTCGATAATTGATTTTGAATCTATTGGTTATATCCATTAAACGAGTTAAACGTTATCATTGGGATTTTATTTTGCGTCATGGCTGTAATGTCGTTTAAAAAAGGATCAACTTACTTATCATTAAAATTAATGATCTGTGATAAAAACCGTTACAATTGGTCATCCATCCGTCAACAAATTAAAGCTAAATACTTATCTCATGAAATCCATGATGGTTTTAATCATTGTGAAATACCAGTCATAGTTTATTGGATTATTTAATTTGCATGATAGTATTTTATCATGTAAATAAAAAATAAATTTGGATACTTTTTTTTTTTAATTTTAGTGATTAACCTCGTGAATGTGTGATTAAACTGCAGAAAAAACTCGACGGTTTCGTTTCATTTGACCTGGAGACATGAAATTTTTAATAATTTTGCGACGCAAGTACTTCAAAAGGACTCTTGAAGAAGCTGCTTCACTTTGACACAAATTTTACCCTCCCAAAAATAAGATTCACCGTCGAAAATTTATTCCAGCATCATAAATATGTCGAATAACTCGAGGATTAGGTTGAAAAAGAAAAAAAAAACCCTTGAAACTCGAAAAATAAAATCCAAAGCCCAATGCAGGCTAATGAGCTCCATACACGCGCTTTGCGACTTGACTTTAGCGACGGTGCACGGTACCCGAGACCTGCAACTCGGGTGTATAAAATTTCCAATTTTCGTGACAATTTCAGTCGGAAAAAGGGGACGCGAAGGGAAAAAAACATTTCAAAAGCTCAGCGGCGAAAGCCCAGTTGCAATTTCGCCGGGCTGAAAGAGGAACAGATGAAAAACTGCGAGCGCAAAAATCGCGCAAACGCGAAGGAGCCGGGAAAAGAAGAAGCAGATGACACGGCACCGTCGCATCGCGTGCGCAAAAAGACCCACTGCCACCCCCCCGTTATACTTCCTTTCGCGGGGCTGTGTATACGTACACCCACGCCTACTCCCTCGTGGAAGCTGTGGCTCATTTTTTTTTTTTATTTTGTCTTATTTGCAACGCCTCGCTCCTTTTCCAGCCAACATCGCGGCGGCCCGCTCTTATCTGTCCGCCGCCACCAAGTACAAGGAGAGGACCTCGGCCGTCTCCATGGTAGCGCTCATGCAGGTAACTAGTGTCACCCAAATTTTCATTTTTATGAATTTACTGAATAATCATTGAAATTGTAACTGTAATCCTTTCTCCCTTTCTGAGATTTTTTTCTTTATTCAGTCACCAACAACCATTTGTCCATTTTTCCCATGTAAAATGTGTGCGCCTTTGTATTTCGTACACGGTTCGAGGGACAAAACATCAATTCTCGGCATATAGTAGCGAGTTATTATTATTCATCCACATGAAGGTAAACGTTGCGGCTGCTGCCGATGTCGTCGGGCTTGAGATTTTTTTGTTTTCCTCCATCCACGTCAGTTGTGCGGAAAACTCGTTTTGCAACCAAGGTTGCGGTCGATCGATCACTTTTCAAGATTTTTACGCGAAAAGCCCTCGTTCGACTTTTATTTTCATCTTACCGAAGCTCACCTATATTTTATTGTTTCCTCTCAATTTTACCTGAAAATTTAACATTGATACGCGACGATGTACTCGCGATTCATCGCTTGTGGATAAAATTTTCATGGCACTTTATAAAAGCACATTACCCTCGGACAAAACCTATATTGGTACACCGCGGGCCGTTTAAAAATAGCGAAGGTAATGGGCCCGATGAATGAAGCATCATCCATTAGACGATTAACATTTCACAATTCATAACGAGAAGCAAAGTGTCGCCGGGTGCACAGACACGTATATATATATATATGAATTTGATTAACTTTTCACGAGGCAATATGCACCCGCGGATGGCACCGAAAATAACTCCCTTAAATCCTTTTCCAATCCCACGGCAGCCCCCGAGCATCCAATCGAAAACTCGTATAATCACGGAAGATCCCTCCACCTGTATTCATAGTTTGCTTGATTGAAAAAGCCCATACCAGAAGAGGAAAAAAAAAAAAAAAAAAAACCCCAACATTTCCAGGTTCTCGGCTTCGTCGTGGGCCCGGCGCTTCAAGCAGCCGTGACTCCTCTGGGCGACGAGACCCGCATCCTTATGGGCCTGCCCATGAACATGTACACGGCCGCCGGCTGGATAAACGCGCTCCTGGGAATACTCAACTTTGTCTTCTTCCTGCCCTGCTGCTTCACCGAGCGCAACATCGCCGCGAAGGAGGCGATGCGCGACCAGGGCAAGCAGTCCGGTAAATCACCGTCAGCCCCCTCCCCTTAGACCAATGTATATATATATGTTGTCCCTCTCGCAATTTATCCTTTTTTTACCATTTTCATACATAAACAGAGGAGGAGACTTGGAAGTCCGTAAGGACCGACTACCTGGCCGCCTGGTCCGTCATATGCGCCTTCTTCGTCCTCGTCTTTAACTTTGTGCTCCTGGAAACGTGAGTATATACACGAGCGTCCTCCCCCCACTGTTACTCCATAATACTTTATTACCCACACATCCTCTTCCTTTTTCTGATCTGCATATTATACGCGTTGCACGCACGTATGGACAAATTACTCCTTCTCGCGGTGGGTATAGTTATCATCCGCGCCATTATGACCGCGATAACGACGTAATTACGGAGTTTGGAATTAATTACTATAAATAAAAGTAATGGTATTAACGATAACCGCGGGGACTAGAAAATGATTTATCGGAACGCGCGCTTAGGGGGGTAGAGAGGGAGGGAGAAACGAAAAATAATTTAGGGCCGAATTAGCATGGAAAAATGTTTAAACGTGAATTTATTAGTGCAGTACAGTGGGAATTTATTGTTTAAGCCGCACACGTACATCCATGATATTCAATACATGTATGTACACTCTCGAGTGTACGAAACGAACAACTTGCTTGATACTGTATACTCATCGTCCCCGGCTGATTTCGCGAGCGACTTGTACGGAGCATATATATATACATACATATATATGTATATGTCCATGATATTGTAAAGAGGGCGAAGGGTAGGCCAGATTAGTATAACGCGATGTCGAAAAATTTTGCAGACTCGGTACTTCGCTGACGATGGATCAATTCGCCTGGGGCCGGGAGGACTCGGTGTTCTACATGGGACTGCTAATGAGCGTCGGCGCTGTCATCTCCTGCGTCGTCTTCTCTGGTGTCGGTCCGCTGAGCAAGAGGTGACTATACCCTTATATAATATACAATACAATGTTATGTATGATATATATTTCCGTGAAACTGGAAAAATTTGGAGAAATATATCTGTGTACGTATAACGAGAGTGGCCGTGTCTGATTGTCGAAAGGTTCGACGAGAGGCGGGTGATGCTGTGGGGAGGCTTCTTTTGCATGATAATCGGGCGCATCATCCACATTCCCTGGGGCACCGAACCACCGCTCATCGCCGAACTTGGAGGTAAGCGACGTCTTTTCTTTTCTTTTTTATTTTTTTTTTCCCCCTCCGTTCCCGTTGCAAAACGCCATTTGCGCGCGAAACGACCACACAAACGATATTAATTTTTTTTTTCTTCTTTCCTCTCATTGAAAAAGCAGCCTACGACAGTTCGTTTCGCGGTCCGCGTATAAGTCCCCTCTTGCGGTCCGCCCAACGGGAGATGCCGTGCTCCCGCGGCTGTTACACCGCGGCAAACTTTCCCGACTTTGCATTCCTCGGCGAGATTGTCTCCGCCACCGACGCCACGCGTATATATATATATATATATATACGCGTCGCGCGAAATGATATAATCCTCGGCGGAGCCGCGATGACGGATTGACCTCGAAACACGCGAAAGCTTTCATGCCCCGAGCAAATGGGCCGAGGGACGCCGGCTCGCGGAGGAAGTTTCCCGAGAAGGGGGCCAAAGTTTGCCGCGATACGTTATCGATGGGCTTCCTCTTTTTTTATACTTTTAATTCGATCAGTGTCCCTCCGTGGCACCTATATACTTTTCCACCCCGCGAAACTTGACAGCTCCATCTCGGACCTTGTGACGATTAAATATATACTTGTTGCGTCGACTCGGGAGATCACCGAGGGGCTTTTCTAGCTACGGGCGGTTCTCGAAATCGTTGAAACATTACATTAAAATGCTTTTAAAGTGTCATATATACGTATACTCGAGGTGCATTACACAAGTTACGTGACTTTGATGCAATCGACGGCCCTCCCTTTGAACGTGTCACGAGCGCAGATGCAGCTTATAGATCGGCTGTGTATTTCACAGGGGAGAGAGAGAGAGAGATCTTGAAATGTATCAGACGCATTAGCGATCTTTTCCTTTGGAAAAAAAGGAAGGGAATCAAATTACGAAAGAGGCGACAGTTTTAATGAAATTAGCGGCCGTAGATCATCACCTCCGGGAAGATATTCTCACGGGGCGCGCGTACGCTTATCCGAGATCTCGGGCGCGTCTGATTTACCGAGTCGGGTGCTTTTGTCGAATTCAAAAAAAAAAAAAAAAAAATCCACGATTTCGGTAGCTCGATATTGTGTCTCCTCCAACGTACATACACACACACACACGTAAATATGTGGTAGTCGATACGTATTACGTAATACTCGGGGGATAATGAATATTAATACAGCCGATCGGTCTCCCTTTCTCTCTCGGTGAACACGATAAGATCGTCTTTGGTTATTTTACTAGGAACCGGGGGGAGCCAGCCGATCGGGGTTAATTAAAAAATCCGATGAAGCATTTCGATTGATTTACTCTCCGCTCTCGACGGGACGCGTACGTACACGAGGGGTAAAGAGAAAAGAAAGAAAGAAACTCCTCGCGTTTCAAGTGGACGGGCAGGTATCGCGTTACGCGGGTTGACAAATGCGCGTCGGGTTTCCTTGAATTCCTTTCAGCATTTCACCCAATAAGCCGAAAATTCCAAACAGCCTACGGCAACGAGACGACGGACCCCCTGACGAACGCCACGAAGCTGGGCTGCCCGAGTGTCCAGGAGTGGTGCCGCTACACGCCCCGCATGACCATCCTGCAGTTCGTGATCGGTTACGGGTTCACGGCGATCGGCTACCCGATCGGCGTCTCCCTCGTCCAGTCCATCTTCACCAAAGTCCTGGGCACGCGGCCCCAGGGCGTCTGGCAGGGCCTCTTAACCGGTGGAGGGTGTGCCTCCCGGGTCCTCGGCCCCGTCTTCGTCGGCCTCATCTACACGCGCTACGGCATCTACCACACCTTCGGCGTGACTGGGCTCACCCTCGTCGTCTCCATGGTCTGGCTGTCGTTGGTCTACGACCGCCTCGTGTCGCCGGACAAGAGGCCCGAGGAATCGCCCAAGAAACAGCCCGAGGAGGTGCCGCTCGAGCAGCTCGAGTGACGTCGGAGGAGAGCAGCGACGCGGCCAAGAGGATGCTGCTCGATGGTAGCGCCTGAGCACTAGGCACTTGCGCACCGGTGCTCGCACGTCGGGTTGCCTCTCTCGATTTTTCTCTCCCCGTTCGGTGTGCGTGTCTTTACATGATCGATCGGCCACCTTTGGGCTTCGAGGGGACGTTTTTTTTTTTTTTTTTTTTTTACGAGTGCCACGGTGGACGTTAAAAGCGGGGTTTACCTGACAGCCGATAGGGATCCGGTGAAGGAGCTGGTTTTAATGAGCTTTTGTTTTGGCTCCGATAACCGGTGGCTGAGGAAACAAAGGGCGCCCCAGTCAAATGTCGACGGGGGGCGAAGAATCAGTTATCGTGGTCGGAATATCTACCCGTGGCTGCCTTTTTTTTTTTTTGGGTGTAATCCCTTGCGTTGAGTTTTCTCGTGCTTTTCTTGTTTTTACGAGGGGCAGAGTCGATAATTTTTACCTCCGCGGTGGGATGCGCTTGCGGACGTGGGAAAATTACGAAATCGGGGCCCGTGCCTCGAGTGGCGTCGTGGTATTATTACTTTTTGCTCTTGACTCTGCCCTCGACTTTTGGGGGGGGGGGGGGATTTTTTTTTTTTTTTTTTCACAAACTCCGTCTAGTACGTTCGGGAAGAGAAGAAAAGAAGAGGCGAGTTCGATAAGCTCGATAAGTTTATCAAAAGTGGCAGTTGGATGAAGTTGGGAAAAATCTTTCCCGTCGATGGATTTTAATTTTGGTTCTTCCCAATACCGTCTAGTGTGTTCTTATACCCGCGAGACTGTAGTTAAGGATTTGTGACTCAGGGTGTAGGGTTAGTGTTACATAGATAAAAAATACCACTATTTTTTACAAAGATTTTAAAGACAGATTGCAGTTTTTACACTTTTTGTATACAAAACGCACGTTTATTCGTGAGACTTACATATATATTTTTATACATGCTTATATTAGTAAGGTATCATCGTAGCTATATTGTTAAATGTAATACTCTTTTTAATTTTTATTGCATCCGAATGAGGCGTCATTAAAGATTTTTACCCTTGCCAAGTGTAAATATACAAGTCTCTTGTGATCATAATATAAATCGTTAAGATTATGCAATATGATTATTTTTACGTATACACTTACATGCCGTATTTTTTGACAACGTATATAATATGTGTGTACTTAATGCCGACAACTGTGAATATATGCACAAAGAACAATATATTTTTTTATACGCAATATACACAATATTTCACTCAAGTGTGCAATAAAGTGGTTATACTCGTTGATGTTGACGCACATGAAAAGAAAATTCTTTTTTTTTGTACCATCAATAGCAGATCCAAGAAAAACTGTTGCATAATATATGATATACATTTTATGATGTACATGTTGTAAAGCTGTAGAATGATGTTGTAGACTAAATTACGTCATCGCGAATGAAAAAAAAAAAATTGCTACTACGTAAGTGAAATAAAAAAATAAAGCTACGGCAAAAGTATATAAAGCGACGTCGAGTCCTTATTTCGCGAATCCATGAATAATAAAGGGCGCTCGGAGTAATGACGAGAAGCCGCGCTGAAAATTGCACGGCGATTGAAAACGCGAGACCGGCAACAACGAGCACTTGCGCAACGCGCTGCAATCACTTTGCGCTTTAAATATTACAAAGCGACAAATGGAACGCGACGCCGGAAGATACGACGATTGTCGCAACGCAAAAAAAAAAAAAAAAAAAAAAACAGCACGCCGACACATTGTGATACACCCCCGAGCCGATCCGATCGATCGCTAGACCCGATTAAAATCGAAATCGTTCCACGACCAGCCAATCAATCCCAAATGAATACAACCCCGACCGTCAGCGCGCGTCGTGCCAAATATGCCAAAAGGCCGTTGTTGGTAAATGAAACGCTCCCAACTTTGCTCCCAAAGAGCCGCACACACATTGCGCGCGTCGAGAGTTACTTTTCCAGCTGGTCGGAGGAGCTTCGAAAGGGGAAGGGAAAAAAAGTAACCCAAGTATACACTAGGGGCTAGTCGTGTCTCTGAAAAAGGGGGCAGAAGCGCGAGCATTGCAGGTAAGTATATACGGTGGAACGCGATGCCTCTCAGCGATGATGGAAAGTAGGCAATGACATTTCGCGGGAGAGAGCCATACACGTATACACACAGCCCCCGAGGGGGGGGGGGGGCGATTTTCGACGCGGCGCTCGACCTTTAGCCGCCGCTGCTTCGATCCCATCCGTGCCGGCTGAAAGAGTAGCGCGACTTACCGTTAGCCCGATTACGGCCGGATAAGAGTGTACACGTACATATACAGCCGAGGGTGCCCGGATCGCGCGAACAAGAAGAAGGAGAGGAAGAAGCGCCGAGACCTGCATTGGGTCGCGAGTCCAGGCCATGTTAAGTGTGTAGCGGGCAAACGCCGATGATCGATCGGAGCCCATAACTCCCGCGTCATCGGGATAATATGTGTTAACGGATCGGGTATGGAGAGAGAGAGAGCGTATATACGTGTGTTAAAGTTCGAGGATTGCCGCGTCGAAAATTTCAGGGCCTCCGAGCTATGTTTTTACGAGCGCGCGTGTGCCTTTTATAAATCGATCTTGGGTGCCCGCGTCTGTTTGCTCTCGTGTATACTTGTGTGTATGCGCCGATGCTGGAATGCGAATGAAAAATCCTTGGGCTGCGTCTCTCCTCCTCGGGTCCGCGAGAGAGACGTTCATGGTCTATGTGGTGTGGATTTGGAGGAAAAAAAAATTCTTTTTTTTTTTTTTTTTTTTCTGAGCTTTCATCAGCACGATGGTTTCCCGGTGATATGATGATCGTTCGACTGTCTTTCACCGCGCGGTCAAGTGCACCGCGAGAGAGCACCCTCACCCTCCATCTTCCGGGTTTTTTTTTTTTTTTATTTATTCGTTTTGCCCATTCAGAAAGTTGTTTTTGAGAAAAAAAAAAAAAAAAAAAATGAAGAAAAAAATCATGCAGCCATTCAATGTTGCGTCCTCGTCTTTCAATAAAGCATTGTTTATTCAAACTCGCCCGCTGGCTCCTTTCAAAAGGAAATCTCTCTCTCTCGGGTCCCCTTCTCTTTCGCTCCTAAATACATACACGTTTGCTTCGCGGACTTCGATCTGTGTTATCTATATACGTGGCTGCTCTTTGCGCTGTACTTTTAGAAGCTTAATTTGTTCCGCTTCGCATAACCACTTGGAGTTACATGTGTGTGTGTGTGTGATTTTATACCCTTGTACACTTTTGAATGGCAATTTCATAGGGAGCACAACTAACGAATATGGTGAAAAATCAAGCGATGATCGGTGTTTTTCAGCAGCTCGCAAATTTGTTTGTAGGAAAAAGGAGGATGGTTTAGATTTGTCCTCCAAAAACCGTTGGTTTGCGATTAAATTGGACTCACGTACATACGTGTCCATTACAGGTATGTTTCAAGATCGATCGTATCGGTGCTCGCGAGCACGAGTACGTGTATAGGTATATATACCTACATCGACTTTGGAGGATGTGTATTTCCCGCGAGTTTCTTCGCAATATATAATGCACGTCCCGGCAAAGTTTTAAAACATTGAAATTTCATTATAAAATGAAAAAGTTCCCCGAGAGTGGCCTCTCCGATATTGGCCGCGGACCCTCAAACTCTTACTTCTCAGCATCGGCGCACTACGTACATATACTTATACATATACTTTGAAATATGAAACCAATATATCTTTCGCCGAAGAAACGACGGATCGGGGAGGAAAAAAAAAAAAAAATGCCAAAGTGCAAAATTAAATAGTTGCCGCGGCATCTCTTAATAAGTACTCTATGCGCTGGCGCGTTGTTTGCCCGACGATAAATTATAACGGGCGCGTGTAATCATTATGTGTTTTCGCCGATCTTTTCAGCGCTGGATTTTGCCGTTAAGCAAATACTAAACGCGTTTACTTGTACACCAAGTGTGAGAAATTGATTTTCCAAGGCTAACGAAACGATTTGGTTTAATTAAGACGATTCGGCAACGCGGATGGTTATTATGCCCACGGTGTCAAGTTTCACGTACAATCGAGACTTTTATACTTTTACGTCAGTGTATACCATATACCATTTATATTTTGTGGTTTTCGTTTTTTTTTTTTTTTTTTTTTTTTTTTTATTACTCTTCAAACGTCCACTGCTCGTCCCTTTTCCCATATTATATGCATACACGATTTCGTCACAGNACGCGAAATTTACACGCGGGCGCCCACGAAATGAATTACTGGAGCAATTTCGGGGTGTAATCTGCCCTCACCCTCTGTTTTTTTTTTTTTTTTTTTTTACTCTTCAAACGTCCACTGCTCGTCCCTTTTCCCATATTATATGCATACACGATTTCGTCACAGCGCGCGTATCGCCTTTCCCAACACGAGGTGTTCAATCCAACTGAAATATTGCCTGGTTTTTACAGAAACGCGTACAATTTGGATAATTTAGTTGACGAGTTTTTGGAAAAGCATGTATAATATGTTTGATTTCTCGCTCAATCCCGGCGCTCGTGCTTAATTTATTTTCTTTTTCCCCGAAATGATTTATACATAGCCATGGTAAGGAGCCTCCGGTGACGCGTCTCCTTCCTTCCTCTCCTCTCGTCGGTTAACTGTATTCTTCCCATCTCCCGATGCTCCGGTCATTTTTTTTTTCTCTTCCTAACGACGCTTATATGTATTCAAATATTGGACTTCCAGCGGGATAAACAAAAACCATCGTGGAAGTATCGAACGGTCAAAAAGATTATTCGCCCCGAAAGGGGGGGAAGTATACAACGTTTATCGCGAGCAAGAGCCGGAAAGTCGTTACGCGAAAACACAGGAGCAGCGCGCCGATGAAAGCCCAACAATGAAACTCGTCAACTCGGCATTTTTCCGACGCAACGTTGGAAATTTACCAAAGTGGGACGAGTGGAAAGAGGGACTCTTTTTGTTTTTCCTCACACAATCTGGCGCGTATACGCGTTGTTTTTAATCATAAAATGCATACAGAGCAATCTGCGGAAATGGAGGGAAAAAAAAAAATGGGAGGTACAGGTGAGTGAAAAAACTACCTGCGGGATGTGTTGGGGCTAAGCGCGCCCCGGGGTGAAGTTTAGGACGGAGATGCGTTTTCACGCGCGGATGGGAAAAAAGTACGCGTGAAAACCCACTCAGGCTAATTGTTTTGGTTATGCGTCCATCAGGAGTGTATCAACACCGGGGGAAAAAAAAGAGGTCACTTCCTTCCTCCCTCATATCCACTCCGGGGCCGAAATTTAATATCCTGATGCCCGCTTTAACCCCGATTCAAAAGCCAAGGCCGATAAATCACCCCCGAGCAGCCGCGGAGGAATTTGCGCGATAAGTCTATTTTTCCGGGGCTCCGACTCGACCGCGCGGAGCCGAAAGCTTCCCATTACTCACCCGGTAATTTCGGTGACTCTGGATTTCGGTGGAGTGTAAGTACAGGTCGCGGTAAACACACAAGCGGACAAACAATCGGATCACCGAGCCAGGGATATATTATGTCTCCCTCTTTTTTTCTCCCTTATATATATATATAGGTAAAACTCGCCAAGTGCGCGCAGTTTGGATTTTATCCCGCATAAGATAGCCATACGTATTGCATGCGCCTTGTATGCTCTCATACGCGATGCGTCGTATGTGTATATAGGCATATCGCCTAGTGTGTATTAAGGGTGGGAGATATACGACCCCTGCGTGTACAAGTGTGTACACAGTATCGCATATCTGACTCTGTAAGTACATAGTGACGAAGGAGTGGGGGTATACGAAATCAGCTCACCCCATTAGGGAGGAGGTGTATACGCGAGCGAGTCGTCATCGTTTTCTTCCCCCTTTTTTGGGGGTGTAGTTCAAAGTTACGCGCTTTTGCTTCTGTATGTGCCATTTCTCCGGTTACGCTGACTTTATACATAGCGAGTGACGGTAAGGAAAGGGGGAGGGTCCGCTTTAGGCTTTGCTTTGACTTTTAGTGACGTGCCACCCACCCCCTTTTCGTACGTTTCGTGCTCGCGTGGCGGAGCTTTAAGTGCTCCAAAGTGTTGCGCCCGATACGATTACGGAAAGAATAGAGGGGGGAAACGGTGTTTTTCCGAGGGATTTATTCCGACGGAGATTACACCGATTTCTCCCCTCTTTCTTTCTTTCTTTTTTTTCTGGCTAACTGGGGCTTGCTGTGATTCTTATCTTCTTCTTTTTTTTTTTCTCTTGGTGTTGATAACAAGTGAATTGATCACAGTTTACAATTATACACCTACTTGAAAGTATAAGGTGCGAAATGGATACGCTTGCCCTGAATTTGAAATATAGGAAGGTCTTGAATTATTTAGGTCAGAAAGTGTATGACTATGAGATTGAAAAATATATTTTATAATGACTGCCTCGAACAAATTGAAAGATTTTATTACGTTTTAATCCGCATTTTTTTTTTTTTACTTTGGAGCCACTGATGAGAACAACTTTCAAAGCTGAAGCACGAAGCAATTGGATTTTTTTGAAAAGCTACAGAAACTCTTATTGACTTTGTACATCAAATATCAATTTTTTTCATCAGAGGAACTTCATTTTGTCAGCAATCGCAGGATTTTCCAGTTGAAGAATGTCAATTTATTACCGTGACGGATACAACCTTTTTCTTTTTTCCACTGTTCTCGATATTATTTTATACTCAAGACAATCGCAATTGATATTTTTGAAGGTAAGTAATTTCTTATTGAATCGAAACGACCATTCAATCTTCAAAGCATCAAGGTGGCTTGAAAAAAAAAAAAAAAACAACATTTGAATATCGAGAAAAATGCCACATTTCTTTTAGATTTACAGTTTCTCCTTCGAGGTCAAACGCGTAAAAAGTCAATTCTCGCAGTGACGATAAAAAGAGAGAGAGAGAGAGAAAGAAAAGAAGCCCATTAATCTCACGACGCACACAACAAACGGCGACCGAGCTGCGAAACGACCATCCGCAATACGCACCCCAATATGTATAATATGCACTAAACGAAACCCCCGACCCGACAACCCTCTCCCCCCCCCCCACCGACAATAAACCTCGACACAAATTTCAGCAGCATGTTCACATTATTACGAGACGCTCTATAAATCCAACCGGGACATAATACACATTTACCCCCCCCCTTTGCTTGGCTCATCTTCTTCTTCTACGGCTGTTTTTTGCATTCCTCCGGCAAACGCGTGACGTACTCCCCTCGTTCGTATTACAGCCAATGACGCTGCAAAACTTAACAAAAGTTCATCCACGGCAACAAAAAAAAAAAAAAAAAAGAAAAAAGAAAAGTCACCCCCTCCCTGCATGCATCACTCCCCTCCTCCGTAGGCACGGGGTTGGTATGAGTCACACGCGGCGCGAATGGCAAACAGCGCGCGAGCATGGGTCGCGCCCATACTGCTCAACATTAGCCGCGTGAAACACAAAAGGGGGGGTCGAGAGAAGACAACGGGATGAGCCCTCTCGGACATCACCCCGTGCGATCCGTCGTCATTGGGGGAGAGCATCCTCCCCTAGTTTATTTATATTTGACGCTCTATACATTGCAGTGCACATTGGGGGTATAAGCGCGTGGCCTCTTGTGTCGAGATAAGAGGAGCCACTTTGTCTCCCCGGCGTTGCGCGCTCGGTGCGTATATATACACGAGAACCGAAGGTAATGCGGGTACTTATTTCGCTATTGGATCCCCACCCTATCGCGCGCATAATTAATTGCCGTTGCCACTGGGCGCGCTACAATGGTGTATATATATATATACACGTACGAATTTAATCGAGATTCGAGAGGTGATGCGTCTGGAAAATGGTCATAGGTACATGAGCGCCGCCACCATCGCGCAACACGGCAAAGGGGGTTTAATGAACCGCTCGTTTGCTCTTATTACGTATACGTGTCAGCTAGTGCGGCTTGGGCTGACCATTTTGTAGGTTTATATATATACTCATACGCGTGACGTTTACAGCGCTGTGCCTCTATATAATTTGTACCAATTATTTTTCGGTTCGCTCGACATTGTTGTTTAACGATATTTTCGGCTTCATATTTCGATTATCTCCTATACCCCTGACACACGTTTGCGGCTAGTGTGTTGCGTGCGGGCTCCATTTGGGGAATAGGGAATAGTATGCAGGTTAATAAGAAAGAATGGGGTCGATGAATAAATAACGCGTAAAGGCCCCTGCGTTGGCCAGAGAGAGTGTTTGTTGCGTGCCGAGAGTCCATGAGACGTGCTGTGGACCCGCACCATCCGAACGAGGATATTTCATCTCTTGGTTTGAACCTACATTTATTTCAATGGCAAACGAGCTGTCGCTGCCACAATGACGTGTTGATGCTTACATTATTATAATAACGATGCGTGTGTATCTGTTGATCCGAATAGTAGGTCGTGTATGTACCAGGTCTGATTTGTAAATTGTCTATTACAAGTGTAATCATATATATTACATCGAGAAATAGTCAATCGACGCAAATAATATGTGCGGTGCATGACTTTCCATGCACATACCGATCCGTCCTTCACGAAATTACATCTACCTAGCGGTAATTAATTATGTACGAGACGAATGGATGATACTCATTAATTACGTGCGAGTGGAGGGAATATTATTTTAATTAACATTAAGTTTCGTTCGTTTGATATTTCGTTTAATTATTTGCAGTGCGATAAGTTTACCGTCCACAAGAGAGGATATCATTAAAACTGAATTGACCGACGCGATTCGCGGTGTACAAATGGGAAGTTTAGTTTAATTTGTTATCATTTGACGGGGTAACTATGTGTACATTGTATACACTTTGTAAGTGTATAAACACGAAACGTTGTCCGATTCTCGAAAATGACAAACATTACGGGAGATAAATAATCAATTAGGCCAGCTACTGTTTGAGTCGACCAAATTATGTGTAAAATTTGACTGACTTCACACAGCAATTAAAAAAAAAAAAAGACGAATGATTGGAAATCGGCAAAAAAATAAACACCACGATCAAACTAACGCGCAATCGCGATAAATCATACTCGTCGATTAATCACGTCGGAGGTGTCACGCAGTCCCCGATCAAACTTCATTACGAATTTAAAAACTCAATTTATAAACATAACCGCAGCGTCAAAATAACCCCCGCGTGTACGAATAACGCCAGCATTTCGACATCTGCCGATGACCTTACGCGCTCGTAATATAAACAGTATAGCAAAACGGGCACTCGCTGCTTCATCAAAATTTATACATCCGTCCCAAGCCTTTTTTTTCCCCCCCAACGAGGGTCCAACTTATCTTCGTTCAAAGCCCTCCCTTGCGTGCTTTTTCGCGCCCCCTTCGATGACAATTAAATTTCCCTTCGCACCCGCAAATAAACCAGCCAAATGGTCAGTTGATGTATAAATATTTTAGCGACGCGCGCGAGATTACAAGTATAGGCAGGCAAAGGCGCGAATCGGAATGAAAGGACCAAGAGCTTCGAGAGTCGACGCCCCGATGAGCACACACGCAGCTTGCAACATTGACGAGCTCTTACAATAACGCGGGTGTGTGTATATATCCGTAGGTACAATGGCCCCCCGTATAGTCGCGCGCCACCGGGGCAAAAAGACTCCTTCTCGGCCTCCGTACGTGTACTTACCTTATATATACCTATATACCTGTAGCAGTCTGGAACTCGTCGCCAGAACATAAGGAGAGAGAGAAAGAGAAACGGGGGGAGGGTAGTACCGCCGAGGCCGCGCTCGGCGTATTTATACATTATTAATTTCGCATTATGCCCGCGGGAACTCGGCGGTGCTCTTTCTCTCCGGTGCTGCTTCTTTGGGCTCATGCATTTTCAAAGAGTCGTCGGGACCGCGAGGGAGAAAAACCTTAAGAGGAGAGAGAGAGAGGGCTGCTGCAGGAGCGCGGCAAGGAGTAAGTATATATTATACACGAGCCGCGAGAGTTGGTTCGGCCGCTTGTACTCGGTACTTGTGATAAGTGTGTATGTATACCTATGGATAATTTCGTGCATGTGTATATATATGTAGGCGCG